GGGTCAGTTCCCTATTTTTCACAGTTTCGAGTAGTTACGATACTGTCGACATAGTGCGATGGACAACTTAATTAACGATACTTTTGGTAGTTCTAAACCACTTAAATTTACAAAATGAAGAAGTAAGCATATGAAGTGGCCTTGATTTCCAAAGCTGCTGTTGACCTCACTATTGAAGACATCAGTGAACATGTTGAACACCGACTACCGCCTTATGCGAATTAGCGACAGTCCAGTACACGTATCGTCAAGAAAAATCGTTGACCAAACTGAAAGTAGCTTCTCTTTAATGCTGCCATCCGTTTGCTTTAAAAACCAAACTTATTTCACCTGTCCTTCCCTGGGGAAACCCCTCAACCCAAATGCCTGCTTTGATGGGAAACTTTCTGCAGGAGCAGGTTTTCTCCATACAAGCACACAATCCAGAACCGGGAAAATTACACTTCGTGGTTCCTCGAATGGTTGCTTTATTCTTTAAAAAACACTTCAAGGGGCCTGTTCCACATTACTGATACAAATCTAGTTGTGGATTATATCATTAGGTTGATTACGTCACTAGTACAGCCGATGCACCAGCTCACCGCACCAGCGAGTTCCGCTTGGCGGCAACTTACCAAGCTTAGCCTGTGTTTTAGTATCTAACAGGCACACAACACCATGCTCTAGGACATTTCCAAGTGCATTACTGATTGTAGGCATTGCAACTGAAGGACAGGGTAAAACAACGAACTAGTTTCCAATAATAACCGTAGATTTTGTTGTTAACTGAAAATGTCTTAATCATATTTCACCCCATTTACTGGCTGCTATTTGAATTCAACAAAACGGGAAAATAGCATGGTTCGTACTCATCTAGATGACAACTGACAACGCTTGTGCAGGAACATATGTTGTGTTGGTTAGTCTCAGGTAGGCATGTGATAACGTAGTAAATATCTAGCCCTTAAATTCAGACAAAATGGAAATATTTCATCGTTTTCTAATGGAACCAGTTTTAGACGCCCGAATAGAATGGAGCTTTCACTGCTCTAATACAAAAGTCTGGGATACGGTTCCTGATTGTCAGCCTCCATGATGAAACATTTCCATTGAGAATACTCTTTGAGGTTCCCCGAAGGTGCTTAATTGGGGTGAAAGCACTATGATATAGAAACTGTAGTAGCCACCCTATTGCTGTTCTGTTATTTGATTTGGTTTCCATGCAAAAATTACTCAGTCCTTAATATTCTTGGCTCCTATGCGTGAATGCCTTCATTCAAAGTGAAGAAATCCCATAAGCCAGTGTTAATCAGACAATATATGTGGCTGTATTGATATATGCATAACGGGAAGCAGGCATGAGCTTTGCCCCCTGTAGAGAGGGAAAAGTTGATCGCTTGTAGAGACCAGACGTTTGAGATAAGCTAATTGTGTTTTTCCCACCTAATGCAGTTTCTTCTCTGGAGGGGTAGTCACGCTTTTTTATTTTAGTACTATGCTATTATCATTTATTTTTGAAGAGCATGGTCACATACATAAAAAGTGAATGCAAGTGCTGAATGCGAAAGAGTAACAGGAGAATATGGGAGAAAAGAGAGAAACGTCCCTTTCGAAATCATGCCAAGGACAGTACCAGTCTGATGAGGTGAATCCCGAAGTATGTAAAGATTTTGGTATGGAAACATGCGTCTAAAGACCAACAACCGAAGAAAGGACAAACAATGGTGAATGCTCTTCAAGGCGCGGTAGGCGCTAGCACAGTCTAGACTTGCACATAAGGCACAAAGTGTCCGTCATACTGGGTCTGGTGTGAGAATAAATGGCAAAAATGTACATTCAACGCCATGTGCCACGCATAAAAGTGTCATAATTACGCAGAGAGCCCACAATGGCAAGCAGACACAAGTCACTGACTGCGACCTTAGGAAGTCCCAGTCCAATAACAGCCTTGGCGTGTTAAGGAAAGCAGATCCCTCGATAAGAGATGATCATCGGTTGGTGAACCAAAAAGTCGATATCACAACCGATGGCATGTGGGGCTGAGATTATGGCGAGAGACTATTCATCAGCACCATACTTCTGCTTCTTCTCATTCCACACAGTCACTCCACGCCCATCCGAGACTATGCTGACGTCTATTACAGTTGCACGGTGATCTCGAACAGCGATTAGGTCAGGTTTGATGAACGACGTAGAACTAGGGGCTCTAAACCCCTCGAAGACGGTGTACCCCAGTCGATTACTACTACTACTTAAAGACTCAGTGTGACTGTCTTATAAGGCTTGCCTATCCTGATATGTTTTTGCACTGGTCATCAAGCCAGAAAGGTTATATCCAGAACTTGATACTGCCTATGTTGACTGGACCGTACAACACTGATCGAATGGCAATGCTCACTGCTCAGCTACTCGATGGGTTCTCATTAAACCATGGCGCCTTGCCGTTGGATTCCGCCTTACAGAGTGCCATGTGCTTCTAAATCGTCATGTTTTTGGTTCTTCCCCTACATGAATCCCACTAAAACCGGTCTGAATTAGGAAGCTATTAGGACTGTGTGTCAGACGAATAGAAAAGAATGACTGATGTACATGTTTATCTATATATACAAACCTTACTCACAGCAGAGGCTAAGGCCGCATTGGTAGTTTGATCAAACGAAGTTGTAGCTTGGTGACATAAGGTTGTTCACACTTCAGTACCTTACACCTTGTATCATTGTGGATCATGATCCCGTCCACTGAGAACAGTATAAACCATTTGCTTTGGTTTCAGCCGTACGCACCCAGCCACAATGAAATCGTTTTGCAAACATTTAACAAGTAGATGATTACGTTATATGCTACTGTGCCTCCATCAATACTCAACCAATTCTGTGAAGCACTCAATATTGCAGTGCGTAGCGGGCCGCCAATAGTAACAATACAATATGTAGTAATAATATAGTGAAATTCACAATGGATTGGTTTTTGGTCTGCTCACCGAACTTAGCAGTTGGATTGCAAACGTTTCATTTCCAAGTGAGGTGACATCGTCAGTGCGTCAGTCGTCAACCCCTCACTGACGATGTCACTTCGATGGGTCATGAAACGGTTGTAATCCAACTGCTAAGCTCGGCGAACAGACCAACAACCAATCAGCGCACCCGAGCTATCTATATTCCACAACATTACCAACACAATAGGTTGCCGTCGTTGTTTTGATGAACGTTGACTCACTTGCTAACCCATTGATTTTGGCGACTTTCCCCTGTCTGCTATTGAGTTCCTGATTCGTTTCCATCAACTCCTATTGAGTCGAAACATTTGGAGCTAGAATACCCGGATCGAAATGTCAGCGGACCGAAGCATCAGATGTTCTTAAGAATCATTTCTCTCCGGCACTTCAGAGGGAAACGAGCTTTTTCAAAGTTCAAACGTTCAAGACACCCTTTTGTGGGTAAAACTTGCACCCTGACCAAACTGTTCTGCCTAGTTTCCCATTCAAATGAAATTCTCGACTGCCAGTGGCAAATTAATCTACTGGGTGCTGTTTATGGTAGTTTCGGTATTTTGTTCAGGTTTGCCGACCTACAGAATGCAAACTCCATACATTTTTCGAAGTAATCATACACCTTTCCAATCAGCTATCCTAATCACAGGCTGCGCTTTCATTCTGATACGCATCTTGTCATCCCCTCCATCATGTACGCTCTTTTGTGGGCCGTAGAAAATTCCAGAAGAATGGTGTTCATACCGATCTTCACATCATCCTTTCTCCTTTTTGATGTACTATCAATCGTGGGATTGATGAAAGCCCTTCGACAACCCATCAAACTTATATATAGTATTGGATCAAGCAGAAGTAATTTGATTTATTGAACGCCTACTCTACTAAAGCATATACTGATATTTGTACAACACATACGATTGAACGACCCCAGAAACGAAATTTTTTCGAGCCTCAGGCTCGAAGCTTTGGATTCCATAGAGATGCCGATGGTTAAGTACTGATCATTCCCAAAAAAAAAACAAAATGGCACACTTTTCCTTGGTTTTTATGTAGGCTGACTCAGCGTTGCATGATATGATGCAGAAAATTACCGTCTACTAATAAAATGCGAATAGACAAGCGGGTGATACGATGAAAAAAGTTTCATGCTTTGTCCCCGTGCATTCGTTTATTAAGGAACCAGTTCGCGCCGCACTGGGCTGCGTGATTCAGCATCGCGCAGTCCGAAGGAGATTACATCCGACAGCATTGTAACTTGTCTTCGATGCACCCGTTGGTCAAATATAGTAACTGAACTGCTACCTGGAAGGCTTTCTAACTGAATCTATTTGAATTTGAAGCAGAATCACCACCATTCATTCTCAATCTGGAGAAAGGAGACTACAGTACATCAAACTTGAATGTACCTAACGAGCCGTTTGAAAAGATTAATTGGTTTCAGATAATCTACTAACTGAGCTGATAAAACCCAGCCTTCGGGGCATGCCTGCACGGCCATTCGAACACGCAGTATATTGTTTCCATGTACGTTAGCGTGAGTTTATATAAAAACAGTTCACTCTGTATACTTTCATAAAGGAATCTACTCACAAGGTTGCTGAAAACTCATTGACAGCCCACAACTGGTTTTGACCTTCTTGGGGCTCATCAGGTAGGCGCAGTCCCGAGTTTCCACCAACCTTATGTTCTACTTGAACCCAAATCGGACTATTTTCGAGAAATACACTCATTTGCAAGTCAATTTGGTTTTCACGAGAGACTCAACTGAATCTCTCGTGAACACCAAATTGATTTGCAAATAAGTGTGTTTCTCGAACACAGTTCAAACTGCTTATACATAATCTTCTAATCCACAGGAGTTGCTTTTCAGTCCGTGGATGACAATAGTTTGACTATGAACGCACAAATCCGTGCCACATCTCGCACAAACTAACTTCCTTATGTTAACTCTCAGTCAATGTTCAGACTGATTTTCAAATTTTATTGCTTCGGTAATTCGGCATTTTCATTTCTTTTGCCTTTTTTCTTTAAGACCGAAGATCAGAAAAACCGCCGTTTTCATACATTGCCCTCATCGCGATGGCTATTCAAGCTTCCCCGACGAAACGATGCACGCTCAGCGAGATCTACCAATACTTACACACACAGTTCGCCTTTTTCCGTGGTCAGTACACTGGCTGGAAAAATTCCGTCAGACACAACTTGTCGCTGAACGAAGTGTTCATCAAACTTCCCAAAGGTAAGCATAAAATCTGTGAAAGTTATGTGGGGAAAGAATTACGTGATCACAAAATCCATTCGTAAATTTTTCTTATTCGCTGTCTGCGGATGGATAAATATGCGATTTTTACCCTTTAGTTTGGAAGTTAGTCTCCTAATATATTAGTCATTGCAGCACTTACGGTGAAAAACGCTCCGTCCTAGTGATATCCCACAGCCTGCGACAGAAAATATGGCTTTTTAAACACTCACAGAGTATCCAGGTTCAAGCCTGAAAACAATGTGGTATAGATTTACTATGTTGCTTCCCTTCTTTTCACATACCGTTGTAAAACCCAATCCAGGTTTGGAAGGTTGGATCAACTAGGTTGTATCGACGGCATTTGCGACACGAAGGAAAGCCGCACGACTAACATAAATGTTTGCCAGTAGACGGAAGTCTCCACATGCAAAACCCGTTATCGGAAAAGTGCATTTAGTGCCCAAGAGCTCAGGTTGCAACAGTAGGGTATATATTATATATATTATGTGTTTTGTACGGGCCCGATAAGAACCCATTTGTATAGTTGCCGATCCATCTGAAGGCCCAGGTCCTTGGTCAGACGAGTCACGGAACTGAAATGATGCTGTCCTTCACATGTGAAATGAACATTGTTTAGTTGGGTGGAAAAGACGTCGTGGGATATTGTTCAACTTATGTAAAGGTGCCAGCGAGAATCACTGTGAGAGTCACATTAAAGTCAGAAATAACGAAGCCTCAAGACTTTTTACACGTTCCTGCCCTAAAGCACACCCGTAGATCACGTGCGCCTCAGTTGTCGCACTCCAGGATCTTACCAGTACACATGGATTGGGTTATTCTATCCCACAACGCATCTCTAGGCCTGATCGTATCACGCAAGTCTAAACCAGTACATAACATTGCCCAAAGGCAACTCCTGCTTGCTTACACTCCAACCTAAACTAACAGCCCTATTTTAAGCCTGTTGTCAAATAGAACAGCCCCATAAACCAAAAGTGGCGTCATGCAATTCGAAATCCTGAGTGTGAATTCTATCGGCATTCACAAGGCAAAACCTACCCTAAATGTTAATTTGTTGCGCTCGGCTATTGGTGTACGGGGTGAGACAAGTGACCAGCACTTTTGTATCTGGAAGATCAGCTTCACATCTTTATTGTAGACAGTGTTGACTACTTGGTGAGAAATATGACCGCAACCAATCACATGGCCCAGATTAAGATGAACACAATAAAGGACGATTGGTTTTAAGGTCCCATGAAGGATTTCAGTGTACCTGCCTCAGTGAGACTTCAGTGAAAAAAATGGGACACTTATACTCCTAGCGGTATCCTATTACAAACGATAATGACTAGAGAAATTAATATAAAATAAAAACAAATATAACAAATTTCCCTCGAAAAAGGAAGGCTAGGGATTTATTGGACCTGCACTTCAACGGGGGACAATTTCGATCAGGTGTTACGGATGTTCTCTATTAGACGAAACCATATTACTTCGGTCAAGTTGACTCACCTTTTGAAGGCAGTACGAATTTGTAGAGGCTTTTACTGAATCCGTAAGAGCAAATATTGCCCACACACACCAAGAAAAGTACTGTCACAAGGGCTTTGTTTCGATACTGTGTTTGATCAAATGTCCTTCTGGAAGGTGTTTTGCCGTTTCCCTCCTTTTTTTTATTCTGTTTCCTCCCACTCACTTTCTCCAAACTTCTTAAGAAGACTTTAGGCGAGAACTGGCCACCTAAATAAATTGAGACTTCTTATAAATAGACTTAATCCACTACTCACAAGGTTGCTGAGAATTCCTTAACAGCCACAACCGGTTTCGCTCTTCTAAGAGCTCATCAGTTAGGCTCGGTTCCCGAGTTTCCGCCGGCCTTATGTTCTACTTGGTCCAAAATTGCACGAAATTAGCGAAACACCAATCGCATACTAATTTGGTTTTGACGGGGATTCAACTGGAACATATCTGAATCTCCAGTTTATGAACTTTTCAAGTAACTGAACGTGTTGCATCATCATAAGCGAGAGATTCAGTTGGGTTCAAGATGGGCCTCTCTTCCAAACCAAATCGGTATGCAAATTAGTGTATTTCGCAGGCTTCTTATGCCTTGATAAATTTATGAACGACTTTAAAAATTGCATTCCAGCACTACCATAGGTTTGTTCTACACAGTCCTTTTCGTTCGGTCATTTGTTGTCACGTTAGAACAATGCATTCCCTTGAGAGATTTGACCAGAACGACACTGAAACAGAATGACATCATTGAATATATCTGGGTATGCTCTTTAACGTCAGCATTCACGGGAAAAAATCCGGCCACGTTTATTTTGCTGATGCTTATGCAACAGCCTGGGGCCGACGTAGACAGCACCCGAGCTTAGTTATCGGGCTCATACTAAATAGAACTCAGATATACCACACAACTTTTGTGATTCCTCATTAAGTTGATGTGCAAGGTTTGCCTGAGTGTTCAGCTCAGCCGATATTCTGAGCTGATATTTTGACCACCAGTCTGTTGCGGATTTTGATTCTCCAGGTTTCAACTGGTAATAGTTGTAGTTCAGATAATTAAGTAGTTCAATTTTACATAAATTCTTCTTTCTCCTCGCCTCTCAACTATGATCGCGGACTGTGAGTCCTTGAGAGACTGGCCTTCACATTGGAGTGCTCCGATTGGGTTTGTCACTGAGTACCACGAAACTAGTGTTTATGAGCAGGCAAGCAAGGTCGTGAATAATCTGTCTACCACCAAGGGTCGGCGCGCGTTCACTGACCCATTTCTTACGAGTGCGCTGAACGAAAAACAACGATTCCAACATTTTTCATGAATTTCTATGAATAGTACTAATTTACACATCAAATTCGTCCTCAAACTCAGATTGGTGTACGGATGGGTGTAGTTCTCTAATTCCCTACAGACAGAAATAGAGTTTGACGGAAAGCCGATGAGTGCGCCCACACAGAAGGCTGCGAGCCGGTTGTGGACTGAAGCCGAATTATCCGGTGGTTTCAGAGAGTAAGCGTCTTGAATTCAAAAATGAATCACCAGGTGCAAAATCTTTTCCTGTTACACTAACCGTAGCTGGACCCGGGGGCTGAAACCAGAAGTCCAGACCACCTATTTTTTACCACGATTTAAGAACAGCGATTTGTGACCCCGGAACGACCGCCATTCAGTTAGCCATTTCTATGAATATGCAAGGCTGAAACAGTGCACAGCAAAAGCGGACCACAAACAATTCGCCTTGTCTTGAAAGCAACGAAACACTTCAGTGAAAGACTTAGATATGGTAATTCCTGATATGACCACAATAGGACCAAAGATGTTATAAGGACTTCTTTGAAAATAGATACTGGTCGTTTCAGCAAGCTGATCCACATTGAAGTTGGGTTTTCACATCCGTCCTCGATGTAAATCTTTTGGCCAAACAGCCAGTCTTCTTTACCTTTAACGCCCGTCCTTAGTGAAAAAAAAACAAACAAAGAGAATTTTCGCGAGGGAACACTCGTATTAACAAATGCTATGAAATGGAATACATAGCAATCACGTGGGTGGCCATATATGTACCCACCGCTGATGCTTATGAGGTTGATGAGAAAGCTTGGACAACTCACTGTCAGTTTCGCATTTCTTGTGGCTAGGTCCATTCCTCTAAACCCATCGATTTTGTGCTTGATTAGCAAGTTAGATGCAAGTTACGGAATTGATTCATTCACAAATTAAATTGGTGCTAATGAGAGACCCAAGTCAATCTCAATTTAATCCCTTATTTATAATATTCTTTCAAATGAATGTGACAACCGAAGCATGAAGTGAAATCTGGGCAGCACGTCTAGTCTAGTAAAAGCGAGGAACTCAGCTACGACTCAGGTGAGTCTTCCGTGAATTCCAACTTACTCTATAAATTAAGGTTTCAACTGGGAAACCTCACAAACGAGAGATTCATCTGGGTTCCAGGTGTGTCTCTCGCAAAACCAAATTTGTTTGCAAATGAGTGTATTTCGCTGAGGTTGCAACTCGTTTTTGTACACTATCCACATGTTTTACGTTTGCAACTGAAACTAGGGGAAAGAACTGTTAACGCATCACAACACACACCGCCTTTGATTTCTAAATGAGCAGTTATTCCATCTAGGTAAACAGTAAAGTTTAATTAGCCTAACTGGCTTGGGGATAAGCCGACCACTGATCTGACCCGAAGACACAATTCATCTCTATTTTTTCTGTGTTCGGCCAGCCTACAGCGGTGCTGACATACATTATCCTAAGGGACTGTTTATTCCGTCTCGAGTTGAGTAACCTTAATTTTGAATACCAACTCTCATCCACCGCTTTCGTAATTGGAGAACTTTTATGGCTCCACGTTTCTGTTCATTTGTTTGGTGTCTATGAGTCGAGTGAAATCCTCACTAAGAGTGGCTCATGATTTCCACATTGTTCAAAATTTCTTGCAGTAACATTGACGAAAATTAGGCAATCTGTTCAAATAAAAGGGATGGAATCCTGAGTATTACTTTAAACGGAAAAGGCCTGATCAGGCAAGTTAGGGAAAAAGTTGCTACGTCACGAGGACCTGAACAGTTTGGTACACTATAATTATTGCTATGGGTCACAATTTGAAACCGCATATAGGGTCATATAATGTTCATTATGGTCCTGAGGATGACCTGGATACAAGTACTTTTAGTGTGCCTTGGTTTTAGGACAGAGTAGATATCCCCGACCTGAAATTGATCGCTGCATCCAGGCCATTACCATGTGCTGCCGGCAGAAAGAAACCACCTGCAGCATCCTCGAGCATTAAGTGAGAATAGTCAGCCCTGAACTAATGGGTGCTACTGTCACGCCCCACCGCTATTTCGGCACCATCGCTGATCGTCTGATCTTACCAGTATCCACTACGCAAATTTGACAGTCTGTCACCAGTTTCAACACAGACGCGTGGCTACATAGCTTGTGCAGGAGATTTGCATCAGCACGCAGACAAGCACACTGCGCACCCATTGTACCGCGGCCAATCGAACCGGAAACAAGGCTTGTCACTGGAGCGCTGGGGCAGCTGGAAGGTAGATGAACTCATTCACCGTTCTGTTAGCAATCACATCCTGTCAGGTTGACAAGCTAGGAAGAACAGCCAGCCTACGTGTGCACGTTTGCGAACGCGCCGCATGCAACTGTCACAATTGTCGAATGATTCACATAACCATAAAGCTCACTATGAGCGTTAGCATTTTAAATTAGGTACCAACCCCTTGACACTTGCTGACGTTGAGTGTGCACAGGCTGGTGTATGTGCGCTTATCCTCTGAAGATACCAATATTGGGTATACTAAATGGATTTTAGTTAGGGCTCCGTGTTCTTGTGCCACAGGCCGAGTGTGGGTCCACAAATAACGTTTTTGTCAAGCGGCACGCGCATGATAAGGTGTTTAATGGAGTTAATTGGTTTATTCTTTTGTCTCCCTTTAGTCCGAAGGGACGCTGGTTCGCATTTAGCGAGCAATACATGGGAATGTTGGGTTCAGCTTACTAGCTTGTTGTGAAGCAATTCTTTCCGTACTTCAACTCATAGAACCAATAACGACTACCTTTTTTAAGTAAGTTGTTTGCGGGTCAGAAGACTGTAATGAACAACTCGTCCCGGTTCATTCATAGTAACACAGTAACATATGGGTTGTCCACTAGGGTTGTGCATTCATTTTATCACAGTAGGCATCGAAGCGAGTCAAACCTCAACACAAAAAGCGAGCCAATTGTACCTGAGATCAATTCACAACACTAGAGCGTATGGCTTATTCGTTCAAGCTGCCACCCTATATGTGTTCGCATGATTTCGGCCATTCCAGATTCAGCCATAACTATGCGAGAATCTCGAATGTTTAGACCCAGATTGGTTGTGTATCACGGAAACTTCCTCCGGAGCATACGCGAATGCCCGAAATATTTCAATTTATTATTCTAGTCGGGAACATCTACCATTACTTTTCGTAGAACGCACTTACGTGTTTTGATTTTGAGTCAAGACTCCTGTTCGCTTACCTATTTGTTTGGCCTAGAACCACCCTGTTCATTTCTTGCCTCTTTCCTTGACGTTGTTAAGACTGTGTTGAAAACTCTCATTCTAAAGCACAGATTTCATCTTATTTGATTATCTTGTATTTGGCTCTCTTTTTACTCAGTCAACGGCCGAGTGACTAGTCGAATAAAATTCGGAAGCTACCCACCGTTTAATCATCCAGGTCATATCACGTGATCCGGTATTGACTAGGGTCTGGGCTGGTTAGCTAGTCATGCTTGAATGATGTAATGTTCGTTGGTTCCGTTCCGCTCTTGACAAAATAATGCTGTCTTTAACGCTTCCAATTTACCACTGTTATCTTTGTACTGTGACCACGACTCCTACTCGTGAATCTGTTGGATCTCGTGGTTACTCTTTTGTTATCAGATTGATGGACGTCAGTCTGCTGGATCCGTTCTGAAAAAATGGTCGTGCAATGTCTTGATATCATAACTTTGTAACATGCCCACGGAAAACTTAGTTCGCTTTCGTAATGTACAACTCATAAGGTTGCTGAAAATCCATCGACAGCCCACGACCGGTTTCGCCCTTCTTGGGGCTCATCAGGTAGGCGCAGTCCCCGGGTTCCCGTCAACCTTATATTCTACTTGAAACCAAATTGCACGAAATTAGCGAATATACACTCATTTGCAAACTAATTTGGTTTTTGAGAGACTCAGCTTGAACGCAGCTGAATCTCTTGTTTATGGTGTTCTCAGGCAACTGAATGTGCTACACCAGGCCGCCTCATGTTCCAGTCGCTACAATATTTGAAATATCGCGATACATGTGTATATTTGTAATGTACTACTCATAAGGTTGCTGAAAACCCAACTAAATCTCTCGTTTGTGATGTTATCAGGCGGCCTGGTGCAGCACATTCAGTTGCCTGAGAACATCATAAACGAGAGATTCAGCTGGGTTCCAGGTGAGTCTCTCGAAAGAACAAAATTAGTTTGCAGGTGAGTGTATATTCGCTAGCTTAGTTCGCTTTCATTTTCCTTCGTTATTTCACAATAATGAACTTTCCTTCCATTTTATCTATACCTTATAATTTCCAAAATCAACTTGCCCAAAGCCGCTCATTCTTCTTCTTTAAGTGTTGCATACGTTGTATTATTTCACGATGGTGAGTTTGATTCCTTTTTCAATCTCAAGAGAATGACAACTTCTTTGAGGTGGGTTCATCTTTGTCACCAGTCGCCATGAAACTTCCTGTCACGCTCTGAAATATCACTTTGTTGAGTTATTTTGTAGTTCCATACAAAAAAGTTCGGAGCATTGTTGATTTCTATTCTCGATATGTTCCCCTTGGTTGTTTCAGGAATGGGACGTCCCGGTAAAGGGCATTACTGGACCATAGACCCAGCTGCCGAGTACATGTTTCAGGATGGGGCGTCACGTCGGCGGCCTCGTGGATTTCGTCGCAAGTGTGCTTCAGCGGTAGCGGCTGCCGTTGCAGCCAGTATCTCTTCTACCAACGGCTACGGACATATGTCCTATGCAACTACTGCCTCGCATAACAACGGGTATTTGAATGCATCTTACAAGTTCCCCCAGGCATCATTTTCCAGTCTGGGGTTGGGAAACCTGCATGGGGAAAACTTTCCAAAGGAAATGCCTCATTTCTTCCTTCCATCTACGCGGCAGCTGTGTCGGGGTGGAACAGCCATAGATCAGATAGATACCCTACGTACTGGTTTGCCCTCTTTGTCTGGGAGCGGTTTGGGCTTGTCCATCGGTGTGACTAATCCTCAGATGAATCTTGGTCCATCTACTGCTACAGAGCACGAAGAGTTGGGTCCGTCCTCCTCGTCATCTCTGGATAGCATCTTTAGTCTTCATGCTGCTGGACTTCAGCACCCAATTTGTACAAATCCATGTTCGTTAAATCTTGGAACAAGCTTCAGCACATCGATAGACAACTTTAAAAGCTGCATGTCACCGTCGAACAAACCTACAAGGACAAATTTCCCTCTGGCACAGTCACCCTTCCAGACGACCGAAGCTGCACAGAGCACAGATGGGCAACGGAAGGACGCTGTGGAGTTTAGACCTTGCCAGTCACATCCTCCTTCGTTTGCAACCAGTCAGCCGACTAACAACCAGCTCCCTTCATTGTATCAGGCGATCTCTTTCAGATTACCCCCAGTAAACAACGTATCTTCTGACAACTCAACTCGTGTGGCATCATTTGATCAGGTATCTGACCCAGAAGCAGCCTATCCTTACAACGTTCGGCCAGTTTTTGAGCCGTTCATCACACCAACTGGTCCAGCACCCATAGAAGCGGACGGAAGTTCAACACCCAAGCAAAATATTTATCCCGGCAATGGGTCTCCCGAGAGACTATCAACATTGACTCTGGCACCAGAACAGCCCCTTACGGACACAGTATTCTCAACGCAGTCAAACGAGGTACATGAGTCAAGTGGATTCCCTATCCATGATTGGTTGGGGAACGGTGACAGATTTCAGCAGTCCAGCTGGAACTACTCACACACAACGAGCGAACTTATTCAGGATTCGCATGCAGCAGCTCATGTTCCAACGGAGTCCGTTCCGGTCTGCACCCAGTCTCGTAACTCAAGCACGTGTTTCGCAAAGCAGACCTCACAAAGCAATTCACAACACACATGGTCCGCATCAAAACTGGCCGTTATGATGGCCAACTACGGCGCCGTATTGAACGCATCGTCCAGGACTCCGACGAGCTCTGCGCAACAGGTATCACCGTTCGCATGCCCATCACCAAGGCAATGTTCCCCTCTGCCGAGTGCTGCACACATCCCACATGGAAGTACAGTTGTTGCCACAGAAAACAACCTTGGGAACGCTGAATCTGCCGTTGAGCGTGCATGTACAGTGCTTAACAGCTTGAACGAACACTTTAGGATAAAATTGCAAGACACCGAGTTTCCCACACTAGCAGAACATCTCCGTTCAAAGAGATCACAGCAGTATGCGGTGGATATAGGAACAGATCGCACCGAAGGTAGGTCAACCTAACATGTATTTTCTGATTACTTAGGTCTTACTTTCATTCTATAGAACTCGTTGCACAAGACATGCGGAATGAAAATACACATCGATGACTAACATGCTTGCTTGTCCTGACCGTTTTTGCAAACTTACATGAGTACCAATAAAATACCACATCAACTCATCGACCCGAGAGGCATAACTAACACTGATGGCATACTGAGCAACGCTAACCTACAAGGCGCTGATGATATGATCTCACTTAGCGACGACCCGTTTTGGAGCTCAACGAACAGCTAATCTACCCATTCTGAGTTTTCTATATTCCGTTTTGAGAAGTGAGATAACCCGGCATTTATTCCGGACAAAAATTCTTAGCCGATCAGAATACCGCTCCCAGTTTGAATTCAGGATGCATTATCATGCGATAGTCCTATTGGAGGTTCACTGAAAACGTAGGTGACCGATAGGGAGGATCTAACGAATTCTATGCACTCGCAAAGCCTTCAATCAGCGGCACATTCTACAATTCAAATTAGTGGAGATAGAATCAATTTGCACTATTTAAAAGGCCCTTTATCCAGAAGAATTTCGCCGAAAGTGCGTAACTCCGGCTGGTTCCAGAAGTTGAACATGCTCTTTCCAGCAACCTGATAACCAGACTTTTAATCCTGTGCGCTCACAAATTTCAGAGGCAAAAGCCAAGTGTTCGGTTGCTTTTTTTCACTCGTTTTTCGTCAGAATTGAATGATAAGTACTCACCGCTTGAATATGTGTCACTCATATTTCCTAGCCGGTACAGCTCGTTCAGTTCTGGTCACGACACTAACAGTTCCCAAGACATTGTCAAGTCTTAGCACGATAGTAAGGCCGGGAAGATCATTCAGAGTATCTACTTTGATTTGTGCGGAATCCTGAATCTCAACCGACTTTACACAGTCCTCTGGCATCTGGAAGGCTGATCACTGTGGTTGATGCAAACCGGACAGGTCAAATAAATTACGAATAACCATCCTGTCGAAATGTTGAAGCCGCTGAGGCCGATCAGTATTAGGCGACACTTCAGCTGCACCCGTCTGTCGTGCAACACAGCTCCAGGCTTTTGGCTTTTCTAACCGTTGGTTCTTCTCAGAGCCATGGATAAAGGTCCTACAGGAACAAATGCACCTGGATTGTTTGTTTGTAGTTTGTGACCATTTCGACAAAGTGGTCATCTTAGGTTGTGACTATGAGCTTGATTGCTGCTTCCATTATGACATCTTTACAGACCGTATACTGTCCCCAATTAGTTATCTGCAGCCAATCACAGCAACCACAGTTTTGTCGACCTGTAACATGCATCACAGATGATAACACTAGTAAAAATACCAATGGGTGGTAACCCTTAATTCTGACTGTGTGAGCATTACTCTCAGTAGGTCATACGCCTTAACTAACTGCCTCGATGAGACAACCTCTTTCGTGCTGACGGATTTCTGTGTCCTACTTTTTCGCCACTTCAGAAATTGATATGCTATGGAAGGTCTTCTCATCTCTGAGCCATCTGACAAAGTCCACAACGACCTAAATCTATATCTCCCGTTTTCGCTCACGGGTGAACAGGCCGCTTGTGTTTGCCCGCATTAGGAGAATAATGAGGATCAGACAAAACAAAACGGCTAGGCAGTCAGGCAGGTCTAAACCAACCCAGTTATTGTGTAAAAAAATGGGGACATATTACATTTTCTGCCACGTTCATTTCCACGGCTGAATACTAAACCTGTTGGCCGTACTCGTGCAGCTAGAATCCCTCGTAGTCACTGGTTATGCCTGTTTGTTACATTGAAACAGAGTCACTAGGACAAGATATTCCACTTCTAACCCTCACCCACCCTTACCCACCCTCACCACCTGACGTTTGCGGGTTAAATAGCCGTCGAGTACCAGTTCAGGTGCTCAACAGCGCACCAGCGAGGTCCATCGGACACTTAAGATAGTTTTTCAGACTGATTACTAAGCTTAGTGTATAGGTAGATAATATACGCTCAGTTTTTGTGATGAGAAGGTTAGGCTCTTCCTGTAGTTTATGAAGACAGCACAGAGCCTCCTGCTTGCTTCTTGAGGGTTTGGCACTGTATGGTACTAGCGTCCCCCAAACAACGGTCTCCTCTAAGGTGACGACGTTTTTATGGTGAACACTTTCTCATATCACCCTCATGGACGGGAGTTCAACCAGTATAACTTGGAGGCAAAGTAACTGTGTAGCTAATTGTACAAATCGCAATGGTTTATGGCGGTTGAATAAACCCTTGGTGTACGTAAGAAAGTTTCATCAAGGCCAATAGATGGCTGAACCGATAATTCTGGCGCATGTATCTCACTCTGTATACTGTAGCGTATTACCAAAACAGGAATTTTGTTCACCGTCATTACATGCAAACAGCGATCTTTACAACGAAAATGCAACGTTCAGTCGAACAGCGGACAGCTGAGAAAACCTGTGTCTCATCTTGAATTACATAGGGCGTTCTAGTTCATACTTATGTTTTCTTTTTATTTGGATGATAAACAATGTATTCGTTCACTGTCTTCAGAAAATTGTCTTCATCAGTCTGGTGTTCAGTACACAAGCGACGTGCAATCGAGTTCTGCAATCATGCCCGTCCACTCGTTGCCCATGAAGTTCGATGTCTGATGAGGGTACACCAAGTGCTCATCATTTGTACCAAGGTATTTCTTCGGATTTCGTTCAGTCTCACTATTCTGTGGCTTCACGTTGGAGTTTGTCAAAGAGGTGTTTGCCTACAAACTGCTTCCAACCTAAATTTTTCTACCATCCGTGCACCTTTGTACACGAGTTATCAAGCCCACTCACACCTTCAAGACTGTTCTCGTCCTCTAGGCCTCGATGCTTCCACACACACTCATTTTATTGATTTCTGTCCAAATTCGAAAGCACGCACAAATCGACTTGTATTATACTTGAAAAAACTGGCCGTATGAGTAGTGCACATTATTGTAAGTTAACACACACACACATACACGTTTTCTCTTCTTTCTTTGGATAATTTACTATTGTCGCTGCCCTTCCTACTGCTATTGAAGGAAACACTCCTAACGTGTATGTCATTTCGATTGAGATGAAAAGCAAAGAAAGTTCTGAAAAAAGTGAATGATGGTTTTTCTTGTTGTCTTCTATCGGCAGATCAACAAGCTTCTTAATTGAACCCCCCCCCCCTTTGTGGTATGGCAGACATTCCTATGCCCTATGCACTAAAAAGCCAGGGGGCAAACTTTTAAGGAGGAGAGGATACAAGTCGGTAGGTAAATGAATGTGCTTCTGTGAGTGCACGCAAACAAAGGTGCTTCATTCGGCTACGTTGATCACGAAAACGGTTCGAAACTAGTACGAACTGATGCATTTGTCTAGAATGTGGAATGGGACTGGATGTCATCACAATTATTGCTGTTTTTGTGTGTATCCACTTTACTGAAATCACTGAATAATTGCAATAATACATTTCCTCGCTGGAATGAGTTACCGATACTTCGATTTCCGCAGTGTTCACAATAAGACTACTGAAGGGTTGCCTATTTCGCCTGGAATGCCGTGTTCGAAACATTGTATGTTGGACTGGGGACTGGTATCTATTCTCCCACACTCCTTTGCGTTCGTAAAGCTTTTTTCTCCAATTTTCGGTGAAATCTTTTGACCGTGTCCGGAGAGCGCTCTGCTTGTGCACGGTAAATAGGAGTAAGACTGTGTCCGACGGTCGTAGGGTTACAAGACCAGGAACACTGATTTGACTCAGACTGTGAACCCTTTTCATGTACAAGTGATCGTGGGACTCCACACTTAGCAAACAATTGATTGCCGCGAGCCGTTGTTGCAGCACAGATCTTGGGTGAATCAAACCCACCTCCTGATATTGTGTATGAAAGTTTAGGTCTCGTGGAGACGTACTGAAGAAATATAACTCAGAAAGACACCTGCTATTAGATGTTTGCTGCAAAAAAATGTCCTGGTACATTGTATATAGGTTCTAGGAATTAACATTTTCTGGAAAGGACTTCCGATCAGTACCAGAAGTGCGCTTCAGGCTTGTCATTTTTGTTGAAGCCGTTCAGGGATGTAGTCGAACGTAACGGCACACATGTAGATTCTACGATATACGACATTGTGGGCTGTTAGATTGTAAACCTTATTAAGTCAGCTTGATTTCGGAAGTCTGCCAATGGTTTCCATCGTTCCATATGAATCATGCTCCTTGTATTTCACCTCAGGTGCACGTAAATGCATGTGATGTCTAGCCAGCATGTGAAGAGGCTAGCATGAAAGGCTGTAGAAATCAACCACGCTAGAGGAGCTAGTGAGGAGCTGCTCAGCACATGTGACCACGTGATCTGGTTTTCTTGATTAAACGATGATTGGCGATGCATTCCGTACGAAGTAATCACATTGGTGATCAGCCGCCCTTTATCGAACCATTAAGTGTTCAAACTTCTAACCGGGTTGGCCTAATGGTAACAAAACGTATCAGTTGGTTCATCATTTTCGTTCCGTTGTTGACAGCTTGACTTTCTGATGGGAATGGTGTGATATTTTCGCTATGGGAAAATTCCTGCTCAAGCGTTCAAATTAACCAAAAGGCACAGATTTTTCCGACCGTTCAGCTTTTAAGTATTTTGCAAAAGTTGATCGCTTTTCGGAATTAAAAAAGCTGAGGTACGCATAAGTCCATAAGCATCGATAAGGCCTTTGCAACAAAGACCTACACTCCATAATGGGTAGTTTACTTTAGAGTAGATTCGATTTGGGTGAATTGTGTCCCTTAGAGGATCATCAGTAAAATATAGTCGTCGGTCAACACGACTGCAGAAATAAGATGGTTTTGTGCATATTACACCGGATCAGCTTTTTATCCTATTTAACTTTTGACCCTAAGAAAACGAAAACCAACCGTTTTGTGATAAACTACTTAAAGGGAGTAATAACTGCGTACACTGATTAGCTAAATAGGAGAATAGACTAGAATGTACCTACCTGACTGACCTGAATTCCTTAATATACAATGCAGAGGCACCCTTTAACTGGTCACTTTATAGTGGGTCAATATCCCCTTTTCTCAACTGAGATGCACGTAAACAAAGGGAGGTTCTGGAGACTCATCGATAGATATTTCATACGGCTCGGGTGCCACTTGCTGACTCAGGGACAAAGAACAATAAACAAACGTGGTTCTACAAGGTCCAAGCACCATCACCTGGCGAAATTTTTAGTTACAGCCATACATTCGATCAAACAAGAGAACGATGCTGCTTGCAAAAATTCCAGCGGTTTTTCAATATCCGCTCAGTTGTAGAAGTCATACTCTTAAGTTTTCACACAGACTCCGCGACTTCAAACGACCACTAATAAAGTTTCTTTTTTCTACCGCTCGGGGTGTGTCGACCACACGTTCCAGCCACTATTCTAAGAGTAGAAACAAATGCTCTTCACATAGGAAACCTGTGAATGAAAAGCTGGCGGTGGATCAATAGAAGCTGGACGATCTTACATTGGATGAACAGTCTGGATTGACGTAACATGAGTGGTCTATCGAGAAACTTAAAAGAAAACTGTGGATACTTATTCATGAACCCAAGATCGCTGGAAGTAGGTCCGAGGTAAAGTAGGAGCATCTGCACCGCAATGAGTTCCGGCGAAGGCGGCCGTAAGCTGTTGAAGGTTTCTCATCAACCTTAATAGCAGTGTGCTGCATCTGGATAACTATGTTTTGATTTTAAGGGTGGGCTCACATTTTCTGCATTGTGCCCCTCCACAATGGGGACTAACTACAGGACCTGATTATAGTGGACATTCTAGGGAGATTATTTTGGTGAGAAAGCCCAATATAACTCACATGTTTTCGGTTGATAAAAGCTTCTAGCACCTGATACCTAACAGACTTCAGTCTTTTTGAACTCAGATCACTGTCACTTAGACAGTCCCCTCCTCATCCTAGCGCAATTATTCTAGTGAGTCCACATCAAAGGAAGGGAGCACTGAAATCAAGTTTTTCTCCAATATAGCCTATCGGCAGTCCATATTCTTGATCCTACCGGTGTGTGGATCAAACAGAATGATCGCATCAGGAGGAGGAGGAGGGTTCAGCTGAGAGCGATGTCAATACGAACTCTATCAATCCCGCAACGACCTACGATCAACCTTAAGTCTATCGGTTCTTCAAATATGATTGTGTGGACATTCTGAAATTGTTCCTCCTAGTGTCGCTGTCTAGTACGACAAAATTAGCCAATCGTTTTCCCGGTAACATGACCAACTACAGAACCAGATCGATTTGAACGGGTTAGTTATCCAATAAATGTACGTTCATTCGGGGATTAGAGAGATGTCACACCTCCGGTAGTAGAACTAGAAGGTTTCAATTCTTGTCACCATACAAAGGTATAAACATGTATATCTTAATACATATATATATATATGTATATAATATCTTCAAAAGTCAAGTTAGTTTGTTACAGCCAGAACTGAGTCATGCAAGTAACAAGGAGAGCCGAGCTTGGTATCCTAACTTTGTGTGCATATACAGCTTGACCGATATAAAATACTATAATAATTGGCAATAGCGCTTTCTGATTTTGGTGGCAAAGCTGACTCGACGACACTGTAATCGGATCAGAATTGCTAGAAGTCTCCCGTCCCTTTTTCGCGGCTTAGTGTGCTGCCTATCCATTTGGTAACGAGGCTCACTGGACTGCACGATATTTCTCCCGCAAATAAAGGTGGCTATTCGAAGTGAGCCATTGAAAAGGGCTAATGCGATGCTCGGTGATTGGAGGCATTCTGGGTGTCCCTATATAGTCCTTATATAGTGACTTTTGCTGTATGCTTGGCAGTATTTAACTTAGAAGCGGTATTTGTTGTGCTATCCAGCGCAAAGTCACCAAAGTAGACCAGTCACTCCCCTATGTTAGCTCAAGACCAATGTTTTTTGGGTACCTGTGACATATCGCCATCCAGCTCATTGTGGAATTTACACAAGGGGCTCACCAACGGTATCAACTGTTGGTCCACTAAGCAGACATGCGGCAAATTGATGAGAACTCGAATAATCTTAGGGCGCCAAACAGGTTGGTCTGTTTGGTAGAGACTTAGCTGGTAAAACTCTGACAGACCAAGGAAAAGCCTTTCCATCAGATAGATCGTCGCTTCTAACGATGGTCTCTCCAGTAGGTGACTACTGCCGTCCTCTGGGGCCATCATGGATCCGAATAGGTATTTCCAGTCTTCATTTAGCTCTTTGAATGCTGTAAGTGGTTGAGGAAGTTTGTGGATCAGATGAATGGAAACGATACGGGTCTGCAGACTGTTTGGATTAGCTGATGTCGGAAATTCAGAATGCTGGCATCGCCCAAGTTTACAACGAATTTTCCATAGGCGCCACCGTAACTGAATAGACGACATAACCAAAGGAAAATATGTATAAAATCAAGATCACTTTTGGTGCTGACCTTTGGAAACGGGCGAGTAACATGCGCTGTGAGGCAAGCTGTTACCGAGTTAAAAAAATCAAATCAGTCACCTTCAAAGACACCGGCTATATGGAAGACGTGACTGGGGTTGTTCACCAGCACCTGAATACCTATTCTCACGAAAAAAGTGTACAGCACGAAAACATAATAACCGCGACCAGTCAGGGATCGTTTTCGTTAGGGCATGGATTCGTTTTGGTCTTTAAGTAATTACACAGTCATGCGCAATCGTACAGTAGCTTCAGAGCAGTTTAAGCACTACAGAAATCTTATACAAATCGAAGATCATTCGATAGAATGCACACGCAGGCACACGGTGATTAATTTTCTCGACAGAACCGTCTTTTAGCACATTTCCTGCCTTGCTACCTGATTGCTAGTCCCGGATGCACGTTTCCGGTTATCCGTCACTCTACGTCGATTCATTTCGGATTCGTGGTACTCACAAGCGAACTGTGTATCTGAAAGCTCCAAATATTAATCAAGCTGCACATGAAAACGGTGAACAACGTTTCGCATTCACTTGAAAAACGATCCAGACGGGTGGACGGACCAACGGACTGACAGATATTCGGAAGAGACCGGACGTCGTGGTGCCGATCTGACCTTGAACACCACGACGTCAGCTTCATATGGTC